GAAATTTTGCGCGCCATTTAAGATTAATATACAGAAACGGAAGGGATTCTATAATTTAAAAACCTGGTTTTTGATTTGTCTCAACTATATCCAAGAAAGAACGGTTTAAGAAGAAAAAAAGTGTGTCCATTGATACTCAGATTAAGTGATTGGGATTAAGGATATCTCATTCAGCTCAGGCTTCATAAGGTCATAAACGAAATATGTTCAATGTATTGCATAACTCAGCTCTATTAAAGAGTTATTAGGAAGAATAGCAATGTTTTAGTTTCTAGTCAAAAGTCCGGTCACCCACAAAGGATGAGACTTCGGAGACGACTGTATGGAATTTCATATGCATTTTTTCTTGCATTGAGATTCCCTGTGTTTTGAAGTTTTAAAATTTCTTTTAAAACTAATTGAAAACACTTACCGTTAAACCCTAAATAAGCCATACTTAGAAAGAATTTATCAAATGTAGTATTGACAATTTTTTAATGAGTTCTATAATATTTTAAGTAAATCTCAGTATTTGCGAAAATAAATAAATAGCCATGATTATGAGGGAACAGTTTTAACGAGCTCCATATAATCATTTAATTAAAAAACTAAATATCTGCAACATTCCAGTATCAGAAAGTGAAGAATACAACATTTGATGAATTCTTTCGATGTATGGCTTTAATAACTTAACTTAACTGTATTAAAGACTATAATAAAGTCCTAGGATCTAAGAAAACAATATAATCGAAAGACGACATTAAGGCAATACTAAGTGTATTTGATATGTTGTTCCTATCACTCACTTATTAAATCACGAATTTAGTGAATTGGGTCTGTTTTTGCTCTGCAACGGCTGTGTCTAAAGCTCACTGGAATTTTTGAAGATAGAACTTGAATCTAAAAGTCGTCTTCGTCTTCTTATTTCGGAGTTTTCTGGTTATCACTGTATGTACAAAACTCATTTTGATATTTACAAATATCTAACGAATTAAACTTTTTAAACTCACAATTTTCTCTTCACCTCTAGTTATTAGTTATGGAACTCAACTAAATTATGTGGGTTTTATGACATAAATTTTATTTCTATTTTGTTTCTTTGGTTTATGTTTACATTGACTAATGGTTAGTTTTGTTAGTAGAGTTTGTGCACATTATAGTTAGAGATAGATGAAAGGGACTGTAGCCTTTATTTCAAGTAACTCTTTATTCACAACGTTACCTTTAAAAGCTTTGTCTGGTGAACCAATAAAATGCAATATTCAATATTCACCATTTTCTCTTTGAAAATTGGTCATTTATAAGTGTGTGGTCTTTATAAAGTGACCTGAGCATTTCTGTTTCAGAAACAAGGGAAAAAATTGTTATAATACTTTTTAACCTAGAGAAACGATATTATTGATCGAATAAAGGTGTAAAGGGTGCCGTTGGGATTCAGGTATTATCGCCTTTTTTAAATTAAAGGTTACTTGAAATAACAAAGACAAAGTCTTAAATTTAATTTTTAGATTTGGGTCTGTCCTAGTGAACGATTTTTGGACCCCCCTCCATAAATAATCTTTTTCCATTTCCTATTTTCTAAATACTTACCTTTCCATCACATCT